ATTAGAGTAGAACCTGTTCAGCGAGAACTCTGATGTTCATTTCGATGTTTTCAAATTGCTTTTCTTAATACCTACTACTATTACTGTAAGTGGGCAGGACAACGCCAGACTCGCTTTATTCTCCTTCCACCTGCTAATCTAATCTTGACGGCCTACTTCGCTTTTCACTACCTTAATTCCACGCCTATGCCTAATGGGAAGTCTTCGTGGGCGTTACATGCAGAAACCATCCATGAGGTAATAAATTCTTCAAGGGGAAATCTACAGAAAAGTTGCTCCGTTCTGGGGGTTATCATAGGAATGCAGCCCTCCTAGATAAGAATTTTTCATCGATTAGAACTCTTGAACATCTCGTCTGTGGGAACGAAAAGTAGTTTGGCGACGTTTCAGATACACCTGTAGTAATCTGATGGGACTAGCTGATGCTCCTTCTATAATAGTACCTTACAAATGTTGAATTATGCGCGAGCTTGTTCCTAACCCTACCCCGCCTCTTTCCGAACAAGCCATAAATCAAATATTAGGCCCTGAGACCGCACAGCTATTCTTGGTAATCGCCTTGGGCCCATGGCCAATACAAAAACCTATAATGTGCCCGGGAGAGCCATGCCCAGAGTGGACAGAAGTGCTTGGTAATCCAAGGCCACCCTTGGTAACCTTTTCGTACTTCCCATTGACTCGGTTGCTAGCTTCTGAGCTTCGGTTTGGTGAATCACTGACCACATGACCATTTCAAAACCAGTACGCGGTAATTTTCGAGTAGCAATTCACCTCTTATTCGTCACCCAAAGCTCATAGTTTCGCCTGCCTGCTCATGTCCTTCAGTGAAACTGGGTCTTTAGTGAAGGGGATTCTTGTGTTTCATGAATTAGAATAATGCCAACCAAATATCAGTACTATTCTGTCAACGATCTATACTTAGCGATTGGCAATAACAGCTTTTTAATAGGCTGAATTTCAATGAAACTTGTGTAGCTCTTTGTGTTGCTTTCTATCGAGTTTCAATTCAAAAATGAAATTGTTAGATATTCCTTGCGAATCGTCGCTGCTTAAGTAAATGGCAAGTCATTTACTTCCCACTTTGACCATACTTTTTAAAAATTTGACGTCAACATTCAACGACGTTTCTGATGACGAAGACGGAGGTTGTGCTAAATTGTGCCGTCCACTACATATAGCGTATGGGGATCAAGTCTGGAGTAGGTGTAGTGTAGGAACGGTGTCATGTAGACCGATTATGGGAGAAGATGGTCTTGCGGAGGCCTACCTTCCTGAGAATCTCGGGGGTGTGGGTGAGGGTCCCGGAAGGGGTCGCACTAGTGAAGTAGCCTCCATGCTTTCGTTCCTTTCCGGAGTAGTAGAGAGTCGTGATAGTTAAAGAATTGAAGGACGAAGGATTAATGCAACTGAGAAAACCCTATCACTTTTTAGTTTGCGCTTGGTTTATTGTAATTACATATCTATCACAAATGAATTTGATTATTTTCGAAAGTTTTGAAAACCCGACAAGTAAAAAAGATCAGTCTACAACTTCACCCACTTTGGTAGCCACTGTGCTATTCAAATTTTTGCCTGAACATTCCTGAATGGGAGTGCTGCCGGACGAATGCAATGATTGCTCCTCAAATGAGATGGATTCCAGAAAATCTGATTTTTTACTAACTGTTGTGTTTGCTGCCCTCGGCTTGCACTTAGACGATCAACCTTTTAGTGAATCCATGTGAAATTAGCTCAGCCTTTGCAGTCACACGTTAGATGTGCGTCAGCATAACTAATCAGTTTTTGGGGAAAAAGACCGGAAATAGGTCGACGGCCTGCAAAAAAAGTGATTAGATGATAAAAATTCATCAAAAGGGTTATCCCTATTGATGACTTTTTGGTTCCGCAGTGGCTCCCGTATCTTTCCAAGCTTTCCTTTCATAACGCGCGATTGGGTGCGGCGGGCGCGACGCGATTTTCGGGGGGAAGTATCCACATTCAAAAGGCATGAATACGGCCCATAGGACGAATGCATTTTTTTATATTTTTTTATATATGATTCTTCGAACTTGATATTTTTTGTGATATCCTATACATGGCTGCTAATATACCCTCTCCTGAACTACCCATCGTCGTTTTTTTTCTTGAAATTGGATAGTTGGGTATCGTGGTTTTGTTTACTGGTTTTGATAAAAGTTGGTAGGGTTTGCGTCGATAAGACGATTTCTCTGGTGGCTATTTGCTCCATTCTGCTTGCAACTTGGACGAGTTCGCTGATTGTACTAGATGTCTAATCTTGCCTAATTTATCACTTGGAGTTGTCCCCTTGGAAAGCAGGAAGTTGGAAAACAGAAGGGCAGTCGGAATTTGGACCTCTCGCATAGGAATAACAGCGTTCAGCCTTTACTTTTGGGGGTAGTGTCACGAAAATTTCAACATCTCATTTGAAAACCTTTGTTTTGGGTTCTGGAGTGAAGCAGGCGTTATACAGGGTTAACTAATTGATTGCTCAATTGTGAGTAAGCTACTGCTCTAGCTGTTATATGTACTGAGCTGGCTGTTTATTTATGGGTCGCCTTAAATACCGTCAATTGACTACCATACACTTTTATAGGTATTCTCTTCGGTACGTGATGGTTTCTATACGGAAGTTCGACGGATACGTCGTGCATCGAATTCGTTTTCGATTGGGTCGAATAGCAGTACGAGAAGGAAGAAGATGTCTGATGGTGATGCCCCACGGAGTGCAGGTTAGCATACACAGCCATTTGTTGCACCATGATGGTGTCAGCTTCATTGAATGCGTGCGGTAGAGATGCATCGTCACCGGGAAGTCGTTTAGAATAGAACTGCGACACAATCAAACCGTACGCAGCCGGTATTCACCAAGTGGGCAGGGTCATGGCAATTCTCATAAAGATCATGAAACGAGGTTAAAACAACCCATTCACTCTTGAAAGTAGCAGTGAAAGCCATTTGACAATTCTGTTCCCTGTAGAGATTTCAATAACAGATATAAGGCGACCTCAATCACTGTGTCTGGCGATGCGGATGGTGGACGCGATTGCTCTTTAGCTATGCTTTACACCATGCTGGGCTATAGAAGTTACAAATATAAAAAAGATGGAATACCTTTCTTCCCGGAAAGGAGTGCCCCTGCATCTCCTCTAAAGAATCCTCGATGCAATTCTCGGTGAAAAGGGTGTATGACTGAACAGAGCCATCGAAAAACCTCAGAACTCTCAATACCTAGACGAGAGGAGTGACCTAGTCGCCAGAATGCTCTACAGCAGAGAGTGTTGGCTTGCAAGCAAGGAACATGTGATGCAATTTCACTTCGCGAAAATGTGGATGCCCAGATAGACTTTCGGCTGTGAATTGAATAGGTTGGGTTGCAAACGAGGATACCGTGGCGTCATGCGAACTGCTTCTGTCCAGATGAAGATGTCCGCTACGGTATAAAAGCGTAGGAAGGCCACAGGTTATCCTGCAAGGGAAGCAAGGGATTCAAAGCTCAAGAGTTGTGATCACGAGAAATTCAAAAGAAGTGGCGGTACGTGAACAGTCAGGACGTCGCTAAAACTAAGGTAACACCAGAAGATGGCGCAGGTAGATGGAATTGGATATAACTTACAATAAAAGCGGACACTGCGATCGTCCGGGGGTGGGTAGAAAGAGCTTATGAAGAGATTGGTTGACTTGGTCAATTCGGATATTTTCGGGACGATAAGAATGACACCTACAGTTGCTTTGTTACCATTCCAGTTGCATGATGTTCATGATGTCTCGCCAACTGCTCACAATGTTTCCCTTATATTTCATCCTAGACATTTCAGCTGGATCACCGCGATTGTCGATTTCGCATCGTGATTGTCGGCGTTCTGCTTCACCAGAATCTGGTGACGAGGGAAGCACAGAAGACCTCGGTCATGACATTTTCCTCAAACCTCCGAGCAACATGCTCACCGCACGATCCTACTGAGGTCGTTACTGCTGGCTTACTCTTTGCTCCTTCTTAAACAATCTTAGCTAGTCTTTTTTTCCTTGCCTTCTGTTCATGATGTTTTTGTTTGTCAACTCGTCATATCGCTTAAACCTCTCGTCTTTTATCCAGAAGATACGAGCTTCAAACTTTTTTTCGATCATTGTAAGCGGTTCTGTGATTGGAATAACCGTCTCAGAATATATCGCGAGTTGTATATGTTACAGTTACGCTACAGTATACAAAGTAAGTTTGTTTCCACTGATGAGCCCTCCTCATTGAAAGCTGTCCTAAAAATATCGATTTTACGCGCGCACAATTTGTACCATGTTTTCACTAGAGCATGTTGATGGGGCGAGACATAGTGGAGACATCCTGAATGCGCACAGAAATTCTTTTTGCTTCACAGAATCCTCCTGCTACCATCGTTGCTCCAAATGAGTTTATCTGGTTTATTGTATTTTTTGAGATTAGCTATGATTCCGCCTGAATGTTGTTGTTTTGTCTTACTTTGTGTTTTTTTTNTTTTTTTTAATATTTGTCGTCCATGTCGTATTTTTGACGATTTGGCAGGGGTTACGATAGGGCCACTGTAATTGGACAAAATCTTCACGAGGCAGGGTAGTTTCGATGACAGAAACGGCATCTCAGGTGTGTGGAAGGCTTTGCTAGCACCTATTATCGTGATGAAATGGGTCCTGATTGAGATGTGAGCCGTTTTTCGACGTGAACTCGGCTTCAGAGGGTAAACAAGCGGCCAATAAGTCACGTTTTGTTATGGTATATTTTGAGAGTTGAGGGAGCTGATTCCATAAAATTCGGACATTTCCTACTTTTGAATGTCCAAGCCGTTTCTGAAAATCGCCTCCTCTGCCTCTTGAGCTCTTGCAATAACCACTCATTTGTATTTTGCCTTAGAGGTGGTGGACACGCTGGGACTGAATAGATGTTGCTGAGATCTTCCGGTGCATCCTGTGCGGATGCTTTCGGAGTAGAATCCAAATAGTTAATGTTCCGATTCTCAAAAAGGTCCCAAGGATTACGTTTATACGCTCACAGCGTGTTCACTGCCTTCTAGTTCTTGCTGACAATTAATGCATGCGGCTCCCCAACTGATCATGGCCTTAACCCTAACTGGTTCTAATAGTAGTATTGAAGTTGATGTTATTATACTGTCACGGATCCATGGAATTCATTGTATTTGTTCGATTTTTACTTGAGCTGGTTCCAATCATTTCAGTCGTATTGGAGATGTTTTTAAAAATAGTTGTCATCAAGTACCCAAATCTTTCGGATTTTTGTACATATTTCATTGTAAATGCATAATAAAGTTGTCCTTTTAATGTGATCATGCTACAATTGTTTGATTGTGTTGTGAAGAGGGAATAACTGTAGCAGTACAGTGCTTTACCTGGTTACTACATTGATCTTGTTGTTGTCAAAGAATCTGGACCATTTTCGATTTCGCATTTTCGTTTTTTCCTTGTCCAACACGATGCAATGGAAACCCCCCACCCCCCAATTTTTTTGCTATGCTAGTAACCAGTGGGGGACGGTCAAGTCGTGCGTCCGAGGGTGCACGCGGCAAATGGCGCGGCGAAACTCATACCTATCCTGACGACCTCAGCGCCTGCTATTTGGGCCCAATTTCGAAGTACAGTAGAATAGTAGGATCAGCTGTCCTTACTAATCTACCGTGCTTTAGATTCGGGCTCCGAAGATAGGCGCCGGAGTCGTCCAAATTCGCCACGAACTTCGCCGCGCAAT